GGTGGACAAATGAGTGAGCAGCGAACCGTGGCCTCCTCCACCCCAAAAGAGAACACTCAAACAAGTTGCAATACTATTCACAATCCTGAGCCACATCCTCCCGCTTCATGCTCCCACACGATGCCATCGATGCTTCCTCTTCCACCCCAAGTGATGGTGGCACCCCAGCGACGACGACTCCTCAGAAGAGAGGAGGCGCGGAGGGGTGGTGTTGGGGATATAACTATTTGTGTAACTCGTCCAGGAGGGGCCGGGTTACGCAAAGAGGACTCACCAGAGAGAAGCCCAAGACAAAGTATGAAGATGGCGGTTCATAGAGAGCTTCAGGCCCACAGGCGACTTAAGGCTCGTTGTAGTAACCCGCTGTAATAATATTACTTGTATCATAAGGTAGACTTAACTAGTCACCGAGCCGGACATTGTTTATGAGCCGGCCGGGACTCTGTAAGCCGCAGGGCGTCGACCCGTGTATATAAGGGGAAGACCCACTGGCGGCTTAGGGCAAGAAACAACTCATCGAGAGCCAGGCATAGCGTATCTCGCTCCCTGGTCATCGAAACATCAATACCAACCCAACTTGATGTAGGCCTTACCTTCACCGTAAGGGGCCGAACTAGAATAAACCCTCTCGTGTCCTTTGTCCCATTTAACCCCTTCAAGCTTCCTAGTTGTGATGGCTCCACAACTAAGTCCTTTCACGAGGACATCTGACGTGACAATTCCACGACAGTTGGCGCCCACCGTGGGGCCAGCACAGGGTGGATTTGAGTTCTTGAAGGGCAACTTCGAAGGGCTCAAGGGATACGTAGTGGGCCGGATGACCAAGAGTCGTCGCGGCAAGATCTACATCGACGACGAAGGCTGGGGCCCCGACGCCGGCTCAATTGAGTACGGGTACCGGGTCCCCTTCGGAGGGATCCACATCTTCATCGGCCGGATCGGTGAGCCGGGGCCTGAGCCGGACAACTGCACCGACCTCGTCGAGACGGCTCAGCGTGCGAAACCCGCACTAGTTCAACCCGGCATGAAGCACGTCTTTGTGGGCTGCGTCCATGGAGAAGAGCTTTCTGAAGGCCCTGAAGACGGTGGTGAGACGGCCGTCCCCTCTGACGGTGATTGGTCCACCGGTTCAACAGATTCTTTGTATCAAGTTTAAGATGGTGCGCTCGGGGGCTGTTCCGATGGCCTTAGTATTCCGGACCTCTGTGAGCCGCCAAATTGGGCAGGAGTCTTTATGGCTGGGACTCAACCTGGACAAAACTCTACAGCCACGGCCGCAATTACTTCCGGGTTAGGAGCAGTCAGGGCAGGAGGCCATGTGCATCCGCCGGCTCAAGTGCTGATAGACCTCATGGACAAGCTTACGACCCTATTAACCGCCACGGTTATCCCTGCAAACAAAGATGAGCATGACGCCGAGGTAGCACAGGTACGCGAGGAGATAGCTCAAGCCAAGGAGGCCTTAGCAGTTGAGGATACTAGGCTAGCTACGGAGCGGGCGGCTCTCGACGTCCGGGCACAGCGGTTGCAGTCAGAGGCTTATCAGCTCACAATGAGTTTAAACGCGTCCAATCAAGTAATGAGGAGGAGACACCAGAAGGCCCAATCCCGGTTGCCTCCGAATTACGATCCTAGGGTTCTTTTTGCCACACCCGGGGCCGGCCCAAGTAACCCGCCCAATGCCAATCAGTTTATGACACCCGGAGCGGGAGGACCGGCTCAGCGTCAGGAGATGCCACCTCCTCATATGAGCATGGCACCGCCGCGTTATGTACCAATACCGGAGGGTCACTTTTCCAACCCCATGGAGAATTTAATCGCAGCATCAGCATGTTTAGCAGCTCTTCCGGTGGACGGTGATGATCCAACAGCAGTGGAGACCCGGAGGATCAGGGAACTTGTCCAGACGGCCCTGGCTCAGTAGGAGACCTATTCTTACAACCGGGATAGGATTCATTCAACCCCTCCGCCTTGGTTAGCGCCGCCTCGTCAGAACCGGAGCCCGAGTTACAGCAGGCACATGGAGTTCGAAGCTTTATCAAGCAACGCCCAATGCCGTAACCAACATGGGGGCTATAACCCGGTGCAAGACAGAATACGTCAGGAGAACGAGCGGGTGGCTCAACAGGTGGCTTAGCTGACGGCTCATCAGGACATCCCGGAGTACCCAACGACTTCTATTGAGTTGGGAGTAGCCATCAGATCCGGTGGAGTTCCTTGTTTGATACCGGCTTTGCGCAACGTGCGCCTGCCTAAGGACTTCAAGGGACCTAGGAAGGTGCCGAATTACATGGCCGACTTACAACCCGGAGCATGGATTGAGAGTTATGAGATGGCCATGGAGCTGTTGGAGGTTAGCGACGCGTCAATGGCTAAACACTTCACCATGATGTTAGATGGAATGGCCCGGTCCTGGCTAAAAGGTTTACCACCCAATTCCATTGGTTCGTGGGAGGAGTTAAAGTCCCGGTTCATCCAGAACTTCAAAGACACCTGTAAGCGGTCCATGTCAATCGTGGACTTGACAAGTTGTAAGCAGGGGGAGGGTGAGTCCACCATCCATTGGGTACGCCGGTTCAAGGAGATAATTCATTCATATGATAAGATGGATGCCGGCTCTGCAGTCCTCATGTTGGAGAAAAATTGCAACTTTGAGCCACTGAGGCAGAAATTGGGACGCCTAAAGCGTGACTGCACCGATACGGGAACGCTGATGGCGGCTTTAGTCAAATACGCCGATTCTGATAATACCAAGGACCCTGCGTCTGACAATGAGAAAACAGGGAAGGGTAAAAGGAACGGTAATGGAAAAGGTCAACAGCATAACCCGGGGAATCAAGGCGACAATAAGCGTAAGGGGGATGGTAGTCCCGAGCTTGTGGCTAACGCTAGTACATAGGGTAACAATCAGGGACGCAAGGGTAAATGGCCTCGAACCGGCGGGTCAGGTCCATCTCTTGAGCAGCTACTCAACTAGCCCTGTCCGAAACACGGCACCCGGGAGCACCCCGCTACTCACCTGTGGAAAGATTGTGCAATCATGAAGGCATTTGAAAATTCCAATATCTTTGATGGTGGTCATGGACCTGGTGGCGGTTCAGGGGCCGGCGGCTTTCATGGCCCGGGTGGCAGTTCAAATTCCGGTTTTCAGGGACAACCGGGTGGGAATAGTCAACAGCAAGCTGGTCAGGAAGGACAACTGCAGCAGCAGTCGGGTTACCAGAGCCAACCGAAACAGTTGAGCGGTGCGCAATACCATGTGTTCACCACTAGCTTATGCAAACGTGACCAGAAGGTTCATAAAAGGGCTGTAAATTCGGTCGAGCCGGCGGTCCCTCGTTATTTGAGATGGTTAGAGCAACCTATCATTTGGAGCAGGG